CAGATGAATTAATTACAATACTAATTTGTATTACAACTGGGCGACCCATGGTATAAGATCAGAGCGCGCACCTTGCATCTCTGAGACCCGGTGTTCAAACACGGACTCTCCACAATGAATTTGTGATGTACAACGCATGTTCGCAATTTATTTTCTCATGGTTCACGCATGTTTCTTTGGCTTTAATTCCCTCATTCATCCCTCAAATCATATCATCGTCACATCGTCAGTCAAAACCAGTCATTAGCGTGGTTCGCAAGAAATCCACTACTGAACTTATGCTCAATATTTTAAATTGACTATCGTTTAATTATAATAAAATAATTGATTCGTACGTCAATATTACCTCGCCCCTTCGCCTATTCCAATTTTTTTCACACTTTCTTAGTTGCAAATATATAAATAAAAAGTATCTTCCTTGAACTATATGATGCTAAATAACTAAAAAACATAGTAGCAAATATGTTTTTTTAACATCAAGTAACACGAACGCAAGTATAATGTAAATATTAAATAACGTGAAAATCGTTGAACACCGTGAAAAGTTTGCATCAGCAGACGTGAGGCGGAGATGCAAAAGTGATATTAGTTTTATTGTGATGTCTATATCAAACTTCTTTTATTAAAACGTAATAATAATGGAATTATGATGTGAGGGAAGAGAACGGCGAGGGAAAAGATGTTCTAGAAAAGTTCCGCTCGAGGGGGCACATGAAAATTCCCGCTTGATAATTTTTTTACCACGCGGCCCTGGCCCCGCGTAGTGTCTTGAGTTCACGTGAAATGTCACCCCTTGCACGGTCGCGCTGCGTCGTCGCTGCGAGCCGCACGTGTCCGCCAGGCGTCCGCCCTCGCCCCGCCGCGCCCCCGCCGCGCCCCCGCAGGGCCCCCCGCGCCCCCGCTGCCCCGTTGCGCCGCCCACGCTTGCGCGGGGGAGCGCACCCGCGCCGCCCCTCATAAATCACCCCCGGGCCCTGCCTGCCCCTTCCCTCCCTTCGCGTCGCGCTGTCATGCGCATTCACGGACGCGGCCTCTTTCGGAAAGTCCTCCCGTTTTAACATCTGGAGCTTCCTCTTCTCAACTTCGCGCATCGCCTCAGTTGGCTCAGGGAAACAACTGTTGCCACCGCAACGTCTCTGCCCGCGAGGTTCTAAGGTCCGAGACCGGACGGTGGCGATTTCCGGCAATTACTAGACAGCTAAGTCGAAATCAATATTTTTTGGAGGCGAATTCTAGTGCCCGGCTGCTCTGATCTGGTTTTCCGTTGGTTCTCTGATCAATAGCACGCGAAGGACATGGGATCTTTCCTTCCTCATCCTTGTGCCTTCCTCTCTTTTTCACATACACTTTCACAAACAAGCACTACATTACCAGGTTTATCAAGACCCATGAACACCGGACACAGGATCACAGGATTTAGCGAAGAAGGAACATCGCCACCTCTCGCGATCTAACATATACTCGTACTTCACTTACGGGACTGACCATAACAGTTGACCCTCCTGAAAACCCAAAATAACCAATACACCAATTACTTTTGTGCAGTGCTCAAAGCGAAGACTATTGAAACGGAATGGTAATGTATACACGCGTGAATATTCCTCCTACAAAATATACATCCTATAAAATTAACAACAATCGTTTTTTCTTCAACTTATCTTTCTTGTGGGGCATGCCCCATTGCGCGTAAGGTGTCAAAGAATAGGATGTCATGGGCTTCTGGGGTTAATTTAGACCGAATTTTACACTGACAAACTCTGCTGGCAACCACCGAAAGTGGCGTGTCTGCGGAAAACATGATGAATAGATACATCATATCGCATGCTGTCTCCTCGTTCAGGAAGATTTATTACTCCTCGGTATACTATGTTTCTTCGCCCGGGCGAAACAAGTTATAATGCTCATAAAATGTTTCTAACCTACACTTTAAAATATTATTTTGTTATCTTCCTACTTTTTTTAATGTGTTACGGTACACTGGTATACTGGTCTTACTGGTATAGTCAGTAGGGCATTCCAGGATACGTAATGAATACACGAAAATCAAATTGGTCGGTGCCCATTTTAGTCAGTCCAACGCCTTTCTATGAATAGTGCAGAATAATCGCGCGTGCGTTCTATTCCATTTATTTAATACCAATTCACTCAGTGAAAGACACGTAGATGTTTCACGAAATCTTCCGTCAGAAAATATGAATGCATCTATGACAGTCGTCTACAATGACCATACGTACACACCCACACCGGGAGAGGTGACTCGGGGTATCAACTGATGTCACATCAGTGCCTCTGACCGGGAGGTCCTAGCTTCGAATCCCAGCGGTAGCAGGATTGTTTTGACACTGGATATATAGCGAGGTCGAATTCAGCATCTGCGTGGAGGAGAATTCTAGCTGCCGGTCGCTTTGATCGGTAGTTTTCCGTGGTTTCCCTGATCAATACCAAGCAAGTGAGCAGTACCCAAAGAAACGGGCCACGAATCGCGCGCGATCTTCTCTTCCTTTTCCTCACCTCTAACTTACACACACTTACATGCACTACACTTCCACACATGCTCGGAGACCGGTCGGCCGGTCACGACCTTACAGCGTGTCTCGGTTGGCTGAGGTGGTGCCCCGCTAGTGAGAGAAGCCTGCTTGAGGAAAACACCATTAGCCGCCAGTAGCTCGGCGCCGGATCGCACAATCCTCCGGGAGAAGATCACTTCCTCCTCTTTGACAACAAACATTCACTGCACTTACGGGACTAAAGACATCAGCCGTTTACGCGCACGGAATCACTAACCAATCTTTGACGCATCATTATCACCTTATCTTCTATAACACAATTGAAAGCAATGGGACACCATTGTGATGCCCCTTGCAGGAAACATTGTAATGGCGTGATTCCTCCCTCGCGTATGTTCAGAAATGAGTATGGCACCAACCCACTTACACATCGATATTAGGGCAATGCACAGAAGTATCTCAAAATGTATCCTAAAAGTATTAACAAAAGTCTGTATTTGTCAATCAATTGAAAATGTTAGATGGAATGATGTAATAAACAGAAAATAGTGTACATTATCCAAATTAAAATTTCAAACTTACAAAAAATATTTGCAGAAGAACATTAAATTCAACAGTTAAATTTTCGCCTCGTATTCCAAACTGTGTCATTCAAAACTCAATCGCAATTCGCAATATTTGTGGGAAAACACATCAGGACTATCACCAAGTAAGATTATTTAGTATAGTATGTAATACAATACGTGTACTCCGCGGCATACTTTGTGGCTGGTTCGCTCCACGAATTCCGTACATTAAACACGGGTGACGCACTATGAAAGAATATCTTAGGAGGAAGAATGAAACAGCTGCTGACCAAGTCCTCGTGGAAATGGAATGCGAGAGTCACTCACGAATGTACGGAGCTGCTATTAAACGAAAGAGAAGAAACAGTAGGTTGTGCGAAAAGCTAGCACTTGCATTCAGGATTCGAGAAATAATAAATATCAGAATGATACACGACATCCATTACGTTTATATACAATAGCTACACAATCTTCAATATGCATAGTGAGAACATCAATACCTTACGAGCGACTCCAATCGACAGTCTTCGACTCCGCGTTCTTCCACGCTATCCCAACTTATTTTACAAAATGTCATAACACATAACCAGATGATTCCAAACGATTAAAATCGAGTTTAAGTGCGAAGTGAAATATTATCCACTGTTTTTATACAATTAGAGACTATAACAGCATTAAAAAGGAAATATTAATGATCATAACAATGATAGTTAATGTATTAGTTACCATTTTTTTCTGTGAAATTCTTCAAGACTAGATATGCCTGTAATAAGAATTGTACCTCAGCTTCTGGGTCAATGGCCCTCATCTCATTCAGGTTTTTGGCCTAGTTTCCGTGATTCTTTGAACAAATAACGACCGTTTTGTTTTTCTTCTGAACATAAATGTAGCTTCACTATTTATACACGTTTCCTACCGCCCAGTGGGGAATATGCTTATTCATATAATCGTTCTCCATGTTCTCATGGCAGGAAGTCGATTCCTTCATGAAGGTTGGGAGATAATATATAAAATATGTAGCTGACTTCCTTCGCAAATTACTTTTTATTACAAGGGAGGATCAATCTACGTTGTTAAGTACTGAAATTCGTCCAGCAAACGTACAATGTAGAGCATATTTTTTGTAATAAATATTATTTTTAGGTAATACAAGTTTTTACCTAACAAAAGTAGTGTGAACCCGTCCAGAAGTGTACGTATTATTTTAATGCAACATCAGGAAATAGACATGTCTTGAAAGAAGAATATTGTATTCCTTTTATTTGTTTATAATTAGTCCCTCAAGTGGCTCATGGATAGCGTGCTAGAATTCCTTGTTGCGTTTCCCACTCACGGCAAAATTAAAGCTATAGATTTCTACGATTTCTCAGTTTCTATAGCTGCGTCACGAAAGAAAACCTTAGGCAGGCCACGTATTCGGTGATGGAAATATGCCACAGTCTCTAATCGTGGATATTAAATTAAAGTAGGGCCCAGGCCTGGGAACACCGCTGGCAAAGTCGGATTAACCCGATTTTAAAATACCAAATACAGAACAGCATAATTGTTTGTAATTCTGATGAACTTGTTCACTAGTAAAAAATAAAAGGCTTCGTTTTGCAAAAACTACGTCGTAGGTTACCGTCTTCAGCACTGTTTGGGTCCGGTTCAGTCCCATGGACACTCGCTCTAATTCCTTGAAATTACGAATTTGTGTAAAGTTGGGCTTGTTTTAACAACTGCAAACGAAAAAACGATGGCTTCAAGTATAGAATTTAATAAGAAAGTTCGTGGAATTGGTGTCTTTCAAGTTCATATAAACTTGCTTGGAACAAATATTGTTTGTAAAGTATTTTTTGTACAAGTATTTTATGCACGTACATATTTCATCGTCAACCACTAACACATACTACTATGTTAAAACTCTGTAAGAAAATACTCAACAAACCTCCTGGGAGAGAATTCACACTGTTGCCGTTCTCCACACCGCTTCGCACAGACATTATTTCCAAACAGAAGCTGCCTCTCTGCGACACTTGGGCACTACAGGCCTACTGAACCCCGCGAAGGGTAGGTTCGGGTGACTTCTGGCGTCGGGGGACGACAAAATAAAACGAAGAGAGTAGTAACAGATGCCCCGAAGTATACAGTGTACCGTAATACGTAAAAAAGCACAAAACATTTTTTTTTTCATTTTCGAGACTTTGGCCAGAATTTCGGGAATATAATATACTATCAGTGATAAAGGGACACACAAAATTGAATATCTCAGAAAAATGCCGATATTCATCATATTTTAATACTAAGTTATATTTTAAGTACTGAGTAGAAGTTGCGAAATTTACTTTTTCTCTTATGTTTTGTGAGCGCAGTAGCAGTTTCCAAGAGATTACTCTAACGTATGATAAACAAATTCGTAATGGTTCTCTTCGAACATTTTTGTTGGAGGGGTGAGCAATTTCTTTTTTAACAGTACTTTTAAATCTTTTGAGAGATCTTAGTATGTTCATTCTATGAAGTACGCTTTTGAATGACTTTGAAAACTGATCACATTTGGAAATTTTTTTCATGACAAGCTAGTTCTAGTTTTTCTATACATGATTGTTGCTTTGTTCGGGAAGATTATTGATTTTAAATTCTCAAGCTATTGTTATTACTTATTATCTTATTAGTATTACTTTTATTCGCATAATTATTTCATATCCATTATAACAATCGAGTATAGAAAGACACTTATTACAGTCAATGATAAATTACATGTTAAAGAGATGTAAAAGCAAGGAAGAGAAGCTGACTTGCAACTTTTCCCACGTCTGAAGACCTTCAGTGTCTACTGTAGAGGTCACTCTTCAGTCCTCTAATTCACCTTCATCTCCGAATCCAAGAAATATAGTCACATGTTCCTGGTATACCATCTGCTATTTAAGCAAAATTCTGGGTTCTTAAAACATTCAAAAGGGAATGGAAATTACACACTTGCTTCCGATTTCGAAATACTAGAATAAGATTATTTATGTTCATTTCAATTCAAAGAGTGAATGATGTGATTACACATTAATAAAAGTTAAACTCATCAATACTTTGTTATTCTTTAGCAGAGGTAATTTCTTTATAATAAAACAATGTAAGATCACAACCAATAGCTCAATGCACCCTCTGATGAAAATGGTCTGATGAAAATGAAAACTAATGGTGTTACGCATTACATGAACTGGCTACGCAATTTTATGATACTACGTGAAATTGTATTTCTAACAAGCAAATATATTTTCTCCGCACTGAGAATCAAACGCAGATTCTTAGAGTGTTCATGCAATTCAGCTTTCCCCCAAATCAGTAGCCTCAGAGCTAAAAGCAACCTTCTGTATGCTTTAAAATAAAAGTTGAATATTTACATTTGATATTTTTGAAAAATTCAGAGATTTTCATTTACCTTATCTAATATTAAAGAACGGATTCCATTAAGGAAAACATCTGTATCATCATTATTGTAGTTTCGCAATGTTAATATATTAAAACTTTCGAAAATAAAGAATTAACAGAAAATGGTACAATTTTGATAAATATGCTTTGCCCTGCTTAAAAAAATGTGAAAAAAAATTGGAAATTTTGAATTTGAGAAAAATATTTTAAAAATTATCTTTGCTTCCAGCAAAAATTCTACTAAAGCTACTCGTATTTTCAAAAAAAATTATAAGATCTTAATTAATGAATTATTTTTAAATGAAATTTCAAAACAAGATTTCATTAAGGCAAAAGTATCTACATCTAAATAGACTTGTTGTTAAGATGCTCTTAATAGGGAAGTACCTCACGGCAATTAACTACATTAACTTCAACAATGAAGTATTCTTCACGCGTAGCACAACGCGGGGTCCCACGACTTCCTCCGCTTCGACGAAATCCGTGATAGGAATTGTGATCGTACTAAAAACCTTGTAATAAAATTTATTACATCTCATCAGCTTATGGCTAAGTACATTATAATTAAGACAACTAATTCAAATAATATAATATATTAGGTCATTTAATTATCTCATATAAAGAGTCGAGAGTGACTGCAAATATTCCTCTACAATTAAACATGGAAGTCAAAAGTAGCCAAATTATTGTGAGATTAAATTTATGCCCATACTTTTAAAGTATCATAAACGTAAGTACGCCTTGCCTCTCTAAGTAACTAGAATTGACGGTTTGCTGGGAAACAAGCATGATTTGTTGTGGTTCCTGACGGTCGAGTAAACGCCTAGCATTTGAACTGCCCTTAACTGGAGTTCGATCGTAATAGTCTCCTTAGCAAGCTCAGCGGAATCTTTTATTGCAATCAATACAATGGCGTATCTTCTTACAAGTCCATTTAACTCTTGCGTACTAATTCCGCACCACAACACAGGGCCGCCTCGACCAAAACGCAACATTTCAAGTAGGGATCCCATTTCTCCCTGACAAGTTAGTTATTATTAGCGCTAGAGGTGTGAGCTAATGAGAAGCATCCTGCCCTGAGGCGCGCTGAATCAGCGAGAACCATTTCAATAGTTGTTATTACGCATTGGTTCAAACACTTTTAAGATGAAGTAATTCGTAGAGTAAACTTTTGGCTATACGCCTGGCCAATATTTATAATATCATGATTTAATAATAATAATAATAATAATAATAATACATCATGATTTCTATTCGTCTTTTGTTATTTACAGCTACCTTAGTTTTTAGACAAAACATGTTTTCTAAGCACATTGATAAAATGTAATGACATTCAAAATCATTATATACAGGTATAATTACGCGTTTCTAAATATTTTTAACTTTTAGCTGAATCAAAGGAAAGAATGGTCATACGGTCGGCCATACACGGCTCGTCACGGAACAGATATTCCGTAGCAATTTTGCTTGGAGGTATTTAACCATTATCCTTTAGTCTTATCCTATAGTCCTAATTTCAGTATTAACCTATAGTGCGGATCTCGTTCCCAACATTTTCCACATTTTCTTACTTTCTCGAGACATTCCTGCCCGGTCAGCATGACGCATATCACAGAGCCGCGAACACTGGTACCTACACATATGCCAGGCAACAACCATCTACGACACAGAGATACAAATGTTGATCTCACGGTAGGACAAATGTCGCAAATCTTATGGTGATTGGGTGTGAAAACAGTGCACATTCGCTGAATCTACTACACGAGTTTTCCCAAGAAATTGGGTTTTCTTTTTGTTAACAACCTAGGAAAACTCCGGAATATAT